GTGGCGGAGGCGCTCGCGGCGATACGGGCGAGACACCCCGGGGTGGTCGTCGGAAGCGTCACGAATGGGTTCGGGAGCGCCGCGGGGGCGGGTCTGGGGGAGTTTTTTGACTTTGAAATATCCGCCGAGGCTCTGATCGACGAACACATGGTGCACGGGGAGATGGCGAGAAAGCCGAATGAGTATCCGTTTCAGCTCGCGCTGGGCATCGCGATTGGCGAGCACGGATACTCGGGCGATCCCGAGACGTGGACGCACGTCGGTGACGACGTTTTGAACGACTGTTACTGCGCGAAACAGTTTGACTTCAAAACCGTGCACGTTTGGGATCCGGAGGTGAAGCCGTACGAGAGCGCGGGGGGGGCGCCCACGGCGGAAAAGACGCTTCGCGGAGGCGTCGAGAGCAACAGGGACGCGTACGTCGATGGTGTCGTTCCGCACGTTCGCGATCTTCCGAGGCTCTTGGAGGAGTGGTATCTTTAATGTATTTAGACGAGTTGATTTTAGTGCATAATTGCTTCGTATTAATTGATGTTCATTCGTTCCCGCGCGCGCGTTCGCGAACCGCCTCGCTTCGCAAATGCGCGCGCCCTCCGCTAAATCCCAAAGAACGAACAAAATGTAAAAGCACGCGACGGCGTTGACGTCTAGACGTGTTCAAGTTTGTTCGCTTCATAGCATTCGATCGCCCGAAAAAGTGACGGATCAAGATTTCTCTGATCGACGTCGCTTCAACGCTCACGGCGCCCTGCTCAGCTTACTCCCCCAACAAATCGTAGTCGTCCAACTTATCGTTGTACGCCGCCACCTTGCGCTTAATCTTGCTCGTGTCCACCCACGTCACGTAGTCCTCCATATCTCGAGTGACTACAAATCCCGGATCGCGCACGACGTTCGCCCCCACGCGCACGTGACCCTGCTCGACGAACGTCGTCGCCTCGCGAAGGGTCTCGCACATGCGGTTTCTGACGAGCACCGTCGCCAATCGACGTCGGCAAAAGCTCGACGTCGAAAGACGATCGCACAGCGCCAGCGATTTCGTCGACGGGATCGCTCCAATGTCATGAAGCTTTTTTAACAAAGCCTCCGTCACCTCCACCCGAGTGCCGTCTCGCGAATCCAACTTTTTCAGCGCGGCGGTGAGTTTCGTCACCGACCCGCAGAGTTTATTGAACCGCTTAAACTCGTCTCGATCGCGTAAGTGATACCGTCGAATAGTCGCCACCTCTCTGTGCCCACGCTCGGACTTCCACGAGAGAAAATCAACCTTTTTCAACAACTTGCGCTCGTGATGCCTGAGCTCCCGCATCGCGCCTCCTCGTCTCAATCAAAGTCTATTCCTAGTGTAGATCTCAACTTCGACTCCGATCGATTACTTGCTGCGTTGGCGCATCTTTCTGCGTTTACGTTTCAATCGACGCGTGCGCTTCTTACGCCACTTGGCCCGCTGTTCGATGAAAAAAAAGCACCTCTAGGTCAGTCCACCGCGCGTCACGAGTGCTCACCCCGTGCAGGTTCACGGATCCCCGAGCGATCGCCCCTCGCCCCTCCCGCGTCGTCCACCTCCCGATCCCACCGCGGACGTCCCCCACCCCTCCCACGGGATTTCACACGTCCATCATCCGCGGTCCGACCCGTCCCGCGCCCGCGCGCGCGCGCGCGCGCCCGTCGTTCCCCATCGCGCGCGCGCGCGAAAAAACCCTACGCCGCATCCCGCATCAACCGTCCCGCGGTCGCGGTCGCGTCGTCGCCGCGCGCGTCGCGCCAGCCCCCCCCGCGCGTTTTCGCTTCATCGCATCGCGCGTCGCGCGCGCGCACCATGGTCCGACCGACGACGCGGAGAAGTGTCGACGGTCGCGCGGCGCCGCCCGCGATGGGGCGGGCGCGGGTTGCGACACCCCGGTGTTTTGTACACATACTACACGCGCGTATACGCCATCAAGTACACGCGACATCGTACGTGATGGACGATAGAGGTACACAATACGTGGCGAGCCCCGCACACGTCGACGCCACGTTCGCCACGCGTCGATCGCGATGAAGTTGTTGTACTTTCCCATCAACGCCCGGAACGTCCTCGCGGAGTTGCTCGCCCGGGAGAAAGGCCTGGCGCTCACCGCGGAAGTCCCGGCGTGGCCGGAGTACAAGGCGAAGACGCTGTTCGGACAACTGCCGCAATTGGAGGATGGGGCGATGACGATTTGTCAAAGCATGGCGATCGCGCGCGTCCTGGCGCGACGGGCGAACGCGCTGGGAGAGAGCGAACGGGATTTCGCGGAGAGTGAAATGTTGTTGGAGAAGTTTGTCGAGGTGTACGACGGGCTGAAGGAGGCGCACGTGTACGGGAAGGGGACGCCGAAGGAAAAGGTGGCGGACGTCGTCGCGGCGCTCGCGACGCATCTCGAACAGATGGACGGGATGGTGAACGCCGAGCGTGGAACCGTGGGCGATATCTCGGCCATCGCGGCGGTTGTCATCGCGAAGGAGTTCGGGGTTGACGCGATCACGGCCAAGGCGCCGAAGGTGAAGGCGTATTACGACGCGAAAAAGTCCGTCGTGGACGCCGTGTGCGGCTCGTACAGCGCGTGGTTCAAGCCTGAGGCGTGAGCGCGCGTCGTCGTGTCGCCAAAGTATTACTTCTACTATTATTATCAACAGTACCGGTACTTGCATTTATTCACGAATCACATCGTATCGCAACGTCCCGACGATCGCGCTCTAAAAGTAAATGATCAACCCACGTCGGACGCGACCGTCGAAGAGAGTGGGACCCAAAGTCACGTGCATCGATTGCGTTAATACACGAGTTTCATCGCCAATCGAGGGCGAAGAGCCGACGGAGTGAAGAGCCAAGTATGAGTGCTAAGAGTGCGAGGACGAGCGCGAACTCGATCGCTCGCACGAGGAAGGATACCGAGAGCGCGGCTATCGGAATCGGGCGAATGCCCGTGGTGAACGGTAACTTCGGGAGTTTCGCCGACTTTTTCGCACGTTTCCGAGGACTTACACTCACTGTCCCCGGAAACCGCGAGATATCTATACTCTTCCGCGTGTTCATCGTTTTCGTAATCGCTTTTACTGCGTTTTCGTGAGCGACGACACTGAGCCACTGCTCGGAGCGGACCAATGCGTCCATCACCGCGCCGCCGCATTCAACGGGCTGAAGTTTCTTCTCCACGCCATATCTTTTTTGAATCTCCGCCGTGGCGTCGCCGGTACAGATGACGAACTTGTTCCTCGCGCTCTCCGTGAGAAGGAGTTTTCCCACGGACCAGAGCGCGGCGAGCAGGAACGGCGTGTTCGTGAGGATGAAGTGTGCGAAAGGCTCTGGGTGAAATTCAGCGACTGCGAACTGCTTGGACACGGCGGAGAGGAAAGACCTCGAAAACATCGTCACCGAGACTTTCTTGACGTCGATGATGAACAGCGGGAGCTTGCCGCTCAGGTTTTCGCTCGGATCGCCGAGGACGTACTCGTACATTTGGTTCACCGCAAACCAAGAATCCCTGGCGCTCAAGGTGAGCATTTTCTTCAAACCATCGTTCGTGAGGAACCCGAACAACATGGTAGGGTGACCCTCACTCGCGGGCCACACCTTGTACATGTCGAACGTGTCCGATAGCTTACGCGTCATCTCCGTTCGAGTCGCCGGCGCGTCGATTTCCGGGTGCACGAAACCAAACTGCGGTGGGAATCGCTTGCAGAATCGCAGCATAAATACCCGCGTATACAGCGCAGCACCGAGATATTTAGAGTCGTGCGCGTGCGCCAGACACGCCGCCTTGGTCTTGTGCACCAGCCTCAGCTTGCAGTACACGCCGCCGTGCGTGGCCTGGCACAGACGTCTCAAGAACCTGCGACACGCCTCCCTCGCCGGCGTCTCCGCGCCCTCGAACACGCGCATCGCGAACTCAAACTGCGTCGTCTGCATCACGTCCGCGATCGCGTTCCTCAGATGTTCGATCTGCTCATCTTCCGACATCTTCAGCGTGCACGGCCTCCCGAGCTTGACGTCCACGTTCGCGCACGTCAATCCGTGCTCGATGATGGCCAATATCCCCGGCGCCGTCCACGCCTCACCTTCCCACGGATATACCGGCATCCCCCCGAACGTGCGCTTGACCTCATCGTCGACGTAAAACGTCTCGACGTCCGCCTCGCACGCGCGCGTCGGCGTCGCCGGTCCCGTCCACGGCGTCGGCTCCTTCGCCCGTCGCCACTCCGCATCGCTCTCCGTCGCCACCGCGCGATCGAGGAACGCATTTTCAACGCCCCCCGTCGCCCGCCCGCGTCCGCTCGCGCTCGCGCTCGACGGAGACGTCCTCGAGACGTCGCGATCCAATGCACCCACCGCATCTCCGGCGTTCGCGTCATCCTCCACGACGTCGCGCTCGTCCGTCGCGCCCGTCGCGGGGTCGATCGGGCGCGAGCGCGCGCATCCCATCCTCCGTCGCGCGCGCCGTCGCGACGCGCGCGCGCCGAACGCGCCCGACGCGACCGCGCGCGTCCGTGTGTCGCATTCGCATCGACGTCCCTCGACGCCGTCACCGCGGCATCGAGCGACGCGAGCGATGCGCGCGGTCGCGGCGGCGCTCGCGCGGGCGTCGACGCGGGCGACGCCGCCGCGCGCGCGCGAGCGGGCGCGTCGTGGGCGTCGATTCGTCGCGACGCGTGGATGGACCGGCGGCGGCGGCGCGTCGCCGAACGGCGCGCCGGCCGCGCGAGGACGACGACGGCGGAGCTGGAGACGCGGGAGACGATTGGGCGCGCGCGCGCGGTGGGGAGAAGGGGGCGCTGGAGGCGGGATTGTACTTGGTGGCGACGCCGATCGGGAATTTGGAGGATGTGACGATTCGAGCGCTGCGGACGCTGCGGGACGCGGACGCGATCCTGGCCGAGGACACGCGAACGACGAGAAACCTGCTGAACGCGTACGGGATAGCGACGCCGTTGGTGTCGTATCACGCGCATAACGAAGCGCGGCGAAGGGAGGGGACGTTGCGACGCTTGGCGAGCGGCGGGGCGTTGGCGTTGGTTTCGGACGCCGGGATGCCGACGGTGAACGATCCGGGGGCGGATCTCGCTCGAGCGGCGGCGGAGATCGGGGTGAGGGTCGTTCCCGTGCCGGGACCGAGCGCGGTGTTGGCCGCGCTCGCGGGAGGGGGGTTGCCGACGGATGAGTTTACGTTTATAGGATTCCCGCCGCCAAAGTCGTCGGCGAGGACGAAGAGATTGAAGAGTTTTGCAAAGGCGAACGCGACGTTGATCATGTTCGTGCCCCCACACAAGCTCTTAGGGACGCTCGAGGACGCGGTGAAGGCGTTGGGGAATAGACGGTGCGCGGTGTGTCGGGAGTTGACCAAGGTGCACGAGGAGTTTTGGCGCGGGACGCTCGATGAGGCGCGCGAAGAGTTCGAGCGTCGGGCTCCGCGAGGGGAGATAACGCTTCTCATCGAGGGATACGGAGACGGTAGCGCGTCTACCGCTGCGAGCGATGACGAGAGCGATGAGGACATTCCGAGCGCCTCGAGCGTCGAGGAGGCGCTTCGAGCGATGCTCGCCGATGGCTATTCGCCGTCAGAGGCGTCGAGACGCGTCGCCAAGGATCTGGGCGTTCGAAGACGCGATACCTATGGAGTCGCCCAGAGACTTTCGGAGGAGATCAAACGTTAATTGACGGTGAGAGATCTCGTCGTGGATAATTGGTTGGCGCGCGCAAAGGCGCTCGTTAACAATCGATACGGCTGACGGCGGTTAAAAATATACAGGTCCTCCGCCACACCCGTGCATGCCCGAAGGAGATGCTTTGCCGTTCGGTAGAAGTCGTCATCGGGCATACGAGGACATCACTCGAGCTCTCGTCAAGGGCGTGGACGTGGATGATCTTGAACCGATGACGGCGTTGCTCCACGCCAAGCGCGGCTCAGTGGGCCACGAAATCAACGCGCTTCGAAGCGAGATTGCTCGCGTGCAATCGACGCTGAGTGCGATTAAGAGCGGAAAGGCCGGCGGCGCGAGCGCGTCTGCGTGCGCGTCGAATCGTCTTACAACCATCGCTCGAAAGAAATGGAGCACCATGGAGCGCGCTTCAAAGAGGCGGAGCGGGGTTCAAAAGGCTCATAACCTCTGGAAGTCCTCGCGCGCTCGCGATGAAGAAGCGCAAGAATTGATTATACAAAGGGTACCGGAGCCGGCGACGCGTGGGATGGCCATCATGCTGTCTCGTCGGTTGGATGAAGTATTACCCGAGGGTTCTATCGAGGGTAAATGTGCTCGGCTTGTCGAGCGGGGCGGACTCGGGGCCACGAACGGTGAAGTGCTGCGCCGTTCGAGTTTGCAAATCGACACGTTCAGCGACGATTTTGCGATTCTCGACACTGCCTTGCGCGAGGGCGCGCGTCAAGTGAGCGCGGGGTGTCGAGATAGAGGAGTACTTATCGACTCGATTCGGGAGCGCTATGGCGAGCTCTTCTCCACGATGCGAAATGTCTGCGATCGCTGGTTGAGGCGAAACGAATCGCTCGTGATCGAAATGGATGGACTTAAGGGTGCGCTTGACACGAAAGAACTCGAACTTATCGAGTTGACCGAGTACGCCACGCGATGTAGGCACGAAGCAGACTCTGCCAAGCGCCAGCAAAGAGCCGGTAGCGAGCGAGCAGATCTCATCTCAAAACGATCACGCGAGCGTGAGCGTGAGCTCATAACGATGCAAACTATCGATCGTGCGGAGCTACGTCGATTGCACGAGCGAATCAAGCTCACGGAGTTGCAGCATAGACGTGACGTTGAGTCGGCAGTTTCGTCAATGGAAGATTCACTTCACAAGGCGCTGAACGATCGGGACGAGCTGGCGAAACGCGTAAGCTTCCTCGATAACCAACTGTTGACGACTCGCATGATGTTGCCAGATAAATCGTGCTACGCGACGTCGGATACGCAAACGACTACTGAGGATGCGAGATGTCTGGCTCTCGCGGTGGCGGCGGCGACGACCTCGGATGGGATCGCTGTTGCGATTCAGACAGATCCATGTGCCCATTACAAACGGCGGCGTAGGGGCAATGGTGCGTTCCCTAAAGATAGTTCTACGTTTCCAGGACTTCTCCACTCGGACCAGAACTTGGATACATGGAAACGCGAGGCGCTTGGTGGATTCGCTTCGCTCGTAGCTTCAAAGAAAACTGGACGTCGCAAGCCTCGTGCGTGGGTGCTCAAATGCATAGCGCACATATACGCTGACAAGCTCATAGCGGATGCCGCCGTTCAGGGGCACGACGAATTTGCATCGATGCGTGAGACATCATCCACGCAGCCGCTCGCGAATTTCGTGTACGATTGGCACATGCATAAATTTGGTCTGAGACAGCTGGCGGAGGCAAACTTGCTCGACTTGATCGCGTCCACAGTGTACCATGCCGCAGAGTGCGGAATCGTTTCCCAGTTTGGCGTTTTATGTGGATTCGAAAGCACGTTGGCTCAGCAGCAGGGTCATCACACTCATCAGCGCGCGCCAACACTGACGGACGCGCCGGCGGTTACGTTCTACCTTCGACTCCTCGAGGGATTAGCCGGTGACGGTCATTTATCACAGTTATTCATTGAGTTCGGGATGTCAAACGACCGCAGATGCGACGGAGTGATGTCATCATCAAACTCACTGGCGCTCACGCGGGCCACGGAGGCCGTGAAACGCGCGTTCGAGGAGTTTGCGGATGATACGGTGGCGCTAAAGGACTTCGTCGCGTCTCAGCTCGGGGTGAAAAATATCACGGGAACGTCTACGATTAGATTCTCGACGCTGACGGAAAAAGTGATGGATGAATATACATCGAGACGAGCCGCGAGCACGGAGACGCTCAAGGCGTTGTTTCGAGCGGCGGACTGTGACGGCGACGGCTTGTTGGCTCGGGATGAATTTTACGCAGCGATTCGGCTGGCGAGCGCAAGGATCACTGACGCTGCCATCGGTACAATTTTCGAGACGTGCTCGAGGCGTAGTCGCGCTGATACATCGCAACACGTCGTCGACGCGGACAGTTTCATCAAAGCATGCGTCGCGAACGGCATGGAGCGGTTTCGATTGGTACTCGAGCGATCGAGTGCTGCGACTGACACTTCAACCGTGACGTCGTCTCGTAAGAAACATGCGTCGACCACAGCGGTGCACTCAACGTCGTCATCGATAAAGACAATGTTCGATGTCGTCGATGCGCACATCGCCGCACCAGACGGCGCCGTCGCCAGATTCAAAGCGCTCGCGGTCGACGCCAACGTTCCGCTCGAGCGATGTCGTCGCCAGCTCGAGCGACTCGACGCCCTTCGCGCATCCTGCGTCGACGCCGAAGCCACCCACATCGCCCTCAAGCTCCTCGCCCACGAGGTCCGCGCCGCCTCCGTGCGCGCTAAGGGTGGGTTCAAGCGTCTTGGCGTCGCCGTCCTCCATCAAGTCTCCTTCTCGTTGCGAGCCGAAAAGACCCTCGCCGAGGGCCGATCACCGAGCGACGTCGACCGCGATCGCGTGCGAAGCGAAGAATTAGACCCGCTTTTGTAAGATCGCATCGATCGATCGATCGAAACCGCCGTGCGCGCTCGACACGCGCCTCGCGTCGCGCCACCACTCGAGTGCCAACATTACAACCTCCTCCTTCTGACTCCTTCGCCCAGCCCTCCCGCACTCACAGACGCGCCGTACGCCGTCGCACCGAGCGCGTAAACGTCATGGCGAGCAAACGAATCATCAAAGAACTTTTGGGTGCGTCTCGCGACGCCGATGGATCGACGCACGACGCGTCGCATCGACGGAGAGCGCGATTAGACGATCCGCGCGGAGGACGGCGCGAAAGCGGCGCATCGGTGGAATCTCCTTCGTTCGCGAACGCGCGACGTCGTCCGGGGAAGATGGAGGCGCGCGTTCGAGAGGGACGGTTTTCATGCGGTTTCTGAGCGCTCGTGAGGGCGGTTTAGGGCGGTGACGACGCGTCGACGGAGGGGCGGTGACGTGGGTGGTGCTGACCGCGTGGGATTGAGCAATCGGATACTAAAACGAGCGATGAGCGCGCACGAAGGGCCGTGTACGCGCGTCGAGGGCGCGGAGACTGACTAACGTGATGGACTTCACTCGATGACGCAGATCTGCAAAAGGATCCACCGACGTCGTGCTCGGCGGGGCCGCGATCGGACGATGACATTTTCCACTGGGACGCCACGATCATCGGTCCGTCGGACTCGCCGTACCAAGGGGGGCTGTTCTTCGTCGCGATTCACTTTCCGCCGGATTACCCCTTCAAACCGCCGAAGGTTAACTTCAAGACGAAGGTGTACCATCCGAATGTGAACAGCCAAGGGTCAATTTGTTTGGATATCTTGAAGGAGCAGTGGTCGCCCGCATTGACGATTAGCAAGGTGCTCCTGAGCATCTGCTCTCTGCTCACCGACCCGAACCCGGATGATCCCTTGGTACCGGAGATCGCGCACGTGTACAAGACCGATCGCAACCGATACAACGAACTCGCGAAGGAGTGGACGCGCAAGTACGCGACGTTGTAGACCTGGCTCAGCATGGAGGGACGGACGAGGCGAGAGAGAGCGAGCGCGGGGACGCGAACAGGATGGTGAGATAACACAGAGGCCAACGGTCGACGGGCGAGCGGCGAGCGAGAGATAAGGGAGATGAGAGCGGGCGGATTCGAGAAGAACCGCCCCGCGAGCCGCGGACGCGCCACGCGCGAATCGAGAGAGATCGGTCGGCGAACACAGTAGCGACAGAAAGAGAACGTAACGGTCGTTTTATGATTTTAACGAAACGACAGCTCACACGCGAACCGCGCGCGCTTTGCCTCGAGACCCTCGTCCTCGAACGCGAGCGAGCGCCTCTCCGTGTCCGGCGGCGTCCCGCCTCGCGCGCCTCACACGTTCTCGCGCCTCGCGCGCGCACTCACACCCCATGCGCGCTTCATTCGCTCCGAAAACCATCGCCACGCCTCCCAAAGTCGCGCGCACGCTCGGGCTTGAGCGCGCGCGCGTCGAGAGCGCGGTTTCGGACAAGAAAGGACACGTCATCACCTCCATCGCCCTCGCGACCGCGTTCGCGTTGAGCGGTGCGCCCGCGCACGCCGAGCTCAACCGCGCCGAGGCGAACCGCGGGGGTGAGTTCAACCGCGGAAGCGCGAAGCAGTTCGGTGGGTACGACCTGGTCAAGGTTGACATTGCGAAGGAGTACGGGAAGGACTTGCGCCTGAGCAACTTCACGGGAGCGGACATGCGATTCGCCAAGCTTCGCGGGGCGAACCTCAGAGGGGCTTACATGATGAAAATGGTCGCGCCAGAGGTGGATTTCACGGGAGCGGACATGAGCGACGCGCTGATGGATCGATCAGTGCTCGTCGGCGCGAACTTCACGGACGCGGTGCTGAACCGCGTCGTGTTGACGAGCAGCGACATGAAGGACGCGATTATTGAGAATGCGGACTTCACGGACGCTTTGTTGGATCCGAAGACGCAGCAAGCGTTGTGTAAGACGGCGAGTGGGAAGAATCCAGAGACTGGGGTGGCGACTCGCGTGTCGCTCGGGTGCAGCGGAGGTCGCGCACGGGTCTCATCTCCGAGTAGGTACATGACAGACGACGAGGCCGAGAAGCCGAAAGCCGAATTCGATTCGAGTCGATTCTCCATGTATTCTTCCCAGTGAGGCGATGTTGTGATTGATTGATTTTTGCGTGCCTATTCCATCAACTTATTCCTGACCCGAGTCCTCGCCGCCAAAATCCGCGTTATGCTTCCGCTTCGGTGGCGCGTGGGTTAAACCTCGAGCCGCACCGCCGAATCCCACACCCTTGGCCACGGATAAATCGTCCGGTAAGGCGAAGATCGACCCCTTCTGAATTCCCGTCGTTTTTCGTTTCTTCGCCTGAAAATTTTGCCAGCTGCTCGCCTTGGCGTTGTGCTCCGCCGCAACCTCCTGCTGACGCTGTCGACGTTTAAACGCCTTCAGCTTCTTTCGCTTCGCCTCCATCGTCACCGCGTCGTCCGTGGGTTTGATCAACAAGTTCCTCGGTGCTTCCTTTCGCGTGTACTCGGTTTTCATCGTGTGCTCGACGAACCGCTTCGGCTCTGGGACGCCTTTGTACACCTCCCTCGGCGCCGCCGCCGCCGCCGCCGCCGCCGCCGCCGAGCGCCCACGATCACCAAAGTCTATCTTCACCTCCGTCACGTCCACGACCACGCGCTCGTGCGTCTCTCCCACGTACACGTCCAACTTCCCGTCCTCGCGCACTCGCACGCACCGTCCTCTGCGCTCGGCGTCCCCGACCAACACGTCCCTTCCCACGAACGTCCGCGCCAAACTCGTCGGCGTCGCCGTCGCCACCTCCACCGTCGTCTCTCTCGCGTCGCCATCGTTCGCGTTCGCCGCCTCGAGCGCGCTCAGCGTCGTCTCCAGCACGTCTCGAGTGATGCCGATGACCTCGACGAGCGAATCCTTCATCTCTCGCATCTCCGCATCGCTCGGATCCTCCCGCAGCGCGTCCTCGACGTCGGCGAGATTGTCCTCGTACTCTCGGAGCTTGGCTCGGAGCGTCTCCGGGGTCTGCGCCTCGTCCTCGGCGTCGGACATGATGGATTTCCAAAAAAGTGCGTCCGCGTCTGCCGTCTTTCGAACGTCACTCGTCCGCGCCACGCGACGCGAGGCGACGACGGGCGACGATGTCGACGCGCGCGATCGCGTCGCGCGTCGGAACGCGCGCGACGTCCTCGCGGGCGGTGCGTGGACGCCGAGCGGTGGATTCGGGGCGGCCGCCGCCGGTTTTGAGAAAGTTTGCAAAATGGGCGTCGACCGCGCGCGTGACGGCGACGACGGCGACCACGGACGACGCGGACGATTCGGAGACTTTCGATGACGCGATTGTGAGCGAAAGCGTGGACGAAAACGCGGATGAGGGATCGTGGGACGAGGACGAGGACGAGGACGAGCCTGAGCCGGAGCTCGTGCCGTACATCGGCGGCGAGCTTCTAAAGGCGGATCCACCGGGACACAAGTCTGGATACGTCGCCATCGTGGGCCGACCGAACGCGGGGAAGAGCACGCTGATGAACGACCTGGTGGGGACGAAGCTCAGCATCGTGACGTTTAAGCCGCAGACGACGCGACATCGTATTCTCGGCATCGTGAGCGAGGACGCGTATCAGATGGTTTTGTTGGATACGCCGGGAGTGATGGTGGAGGAGTTTAACAAACTCGATGGCATCATGTTGAAGAGTGTGAGGAATTCGATGGCGAACGCGGACGTGATGTTTTACATCGTGGACGCCGCGCGGGATCCGTACGGGGCGTGGGAGGGTTTGGCGCCGAAGAAGGGTAAGCGCGTGCCAACGGCGTTGATCCTGAACAAGTGCGATCTCGTGGGTGATCGCGAGCGAATCATGGAGTTGATCGATTACTTCCGGGCGCAGGATGGGATCGACGACGTTTTACCGATTTCAGCGCTGAACTCGACGGGTGTGGAAAACGTGAAAAATTGGGCGCTCGATCGGCTCCCGCTCGGACCGACGCTGTACCCGAAGGAGGCGATAAGCGAACATCCCGAGCGATTCTTCATCGCCGAGATCATTCGTGAGAAGATTTTCTTGCAGTACAAGCAAGAGGTGCCGTACAGCACGCAGGTTTGGATCGAGGCGCACAAGGAGCGCGACGGCGCGAAGAAGGATCTCATCCTCGCCAAGGTCTACGTCGAGCGTCAGTCTCAGATAGGAATCATCGTCGGCCAGGGCGGGGCGGCGATGAAGAAGCTCTCCTCGACCGCGCGCGAGGACATTGAGAAATTTCTAGGCCGACCGGTATTTTTGGACATTCAAGTCAAGGTGCGCGACGGGTGGAGACAAGACGAAGCCTCGCTCGAGGATTTAGGTCTGGACGACCCGAACCGACTCGAGCAACCCTCGATCTAAACGTAAACGTAGCCATCGTGTTGTATCATCACCGCGTAGAGAGGACGCAGATACGTCGGCGCTCGCGCGCCGCGCCGCGCGATCCAGTCGTCGAAGAGTCGTGACTCGCCAAGAGTCCCTCTCGACCGCACAAAACGCGTCCGCGCCGGGCCCGCACTCGCGCGCGCGCGCTCGACGCTCGCGCTCGACGCTCGCGCTCGACGGGCGCGCGGACGATGGCGCGCGTCGCGATCGCGGCGACGCCCGTCGCGCGCGCGTCGGCGTCGGCGTCGGCGTCGCGGCGAGGGAAAACGTCGACGAGACGGATAAAATGCGTCGCGCGCGCCGCGAGGCGGAGCGCGACGACGACGACGCGAACGCGCGAACGCGACGGCGACGCGGTGGTCGGGACCGTTGGAACGCGTGGGATGGGCGGTGCGCGGGATGGACGGGCGCGGACGCGGGATGCGAGAACGCGCGCGGCGAACGCGCGGACGCGTCGGCCAGAGCTCTACGCGTTCGACGCGTCGTGGGATCCGATGCGGAGCGGTGATCGACGGTTGCGAAGTGAAGAGGCGGAGACGCCGTTTCCGGATGCGTTACCGGGACTCACGATGGGGGCGAGCGCGGAGGAGGCGTACGATTTGGTCATCGTCGGGTGCGGTCCGGCGGGGCTGTCGGCGGCGGACGAGGCGTCCAAGCGCGGGTTAAGAGTCGCTTTGGTCGACCCGTATCCGCTCGCGCCGTGGATGAACAACTACGGGGTGTGGTGCGATGAATTCAAGGCTCTCGGGTTCGATGATTGTTATCGCGCGATGTGGAACAAGGCGCGGGTGATCATCGACGACTCGGACCCAGAGGGAAAGATTTTGGACCGAGAGTACGCGCAGGTAGATCGCAAGAAGCTGAAGCAAAAGCTCATCTCGAGGAGCGTGAAACAAGGTGTGGAGTTTGGCACCGCTGCGGTGGAGAGCTGTGATCACGGTCACGAGCATTATTCGACGGTGAAGCTGGACGACGGTCGCACGGTGTACGCGAAGATGGTCTTGGACGCCACAGGGCACTCTCGCAAGTTGGTCGACTTTGACCGCGAGTTCACCCCGGGGTACCAGGCGGCGTACGGCATAATGTGCACGGTAGAGAAGCACCCGTTCCCGCTGGACACGATGCTCTTCATGGATTGGCGGGACGAGCACCTGAGTCCGCAGTGGAAGCGCGTCAACGACAAGTTGCCGACCTTCTTGTACGCCATGCCGTTTTCTGAAACCGAGGTGTTCCTCGAGGAGACGAGCTTGGTAGCTCGTCCTGGATTAGATTTCGACGATCTGAAGCTCAAGATGAAGGAACGTCTCGAGTACCTTGGGGTGAAGGTGACGAACATTCACGAAGAGGAGTACTGTCTCATCCCCATGGGCGGCGTGCTTCCAACTTTCCCGCAGCGCACGCTCGGTATCGGCGGCACGGCTGGCATGGTGCATCCGAGCACCGGATTCATGGTGGCAAAGACAATGCTGTGCGTGCGAGCGCTTGTCGAGGCTCTCGATGTCGCGCTCAAGGCTGGTAAGCGCGGCGACGTCACGGCTGTACTAGAAGCTGCTGAAGCAGCGCAGACGGGGAACGGGACGTTCGATGCAAACGCCACCTCGGAAGTAGTTTGGAACGCAATTTGGTCTCAAAACGATTTGCGCATGCGCACGTTTATGTGCTTCGGTATGGAGACTTTGATGGAACTCGACATCAATGGGACGCGACAATTTTTCGATACCTTCTTCGACCTTCCCAAGGAGGTGTGGGCGGGTTTCTTGAGCTGGCGAATTCAACCAGCGGGATTGCTCGCACTCGGCGTGCAACTCTTCGTGTTATTCTCCAACTACATGCGAGTCACGTTCGTCAGGTCAGCTCTGCCGTTCATGGGATCGTTCTTCGCGAACTTTGCGACAGCCGATAACAAGTTTGATTCAAGCAAATGGGGTGGCTTCGTGCTCGAGACTGGCTCCAAGGCTAACGCGCGAGCCGGTGAAGGACCGATCCCTCCGCCCACGTCAAATCCTACGGCGAAGCCTATTACAAGCAGTCAGATCGATTTTGCGTCGCTTTTGAAGGAAAAGAAGCTCAGCGCGCCGGTGGACTTGAAGCCAGAGACGATGAAAGACGACAGAGAATGGATCGCGTTTCAACAGCGGAAGGTTTTTAGCGATCAGAAACCGATCAAAGAATACCTCGAATATTTAAGCGACGGAGACCAAGTGGACGTGTTAGTCGTCGGCGCTGGCCCAGCCGGTTTGTCTATCGCGAAGGAGACCGCAAAGCTTGGCGTCAAGGTCGGCATTGTTGCGCCGGATACACCATTCGTGAACAACTACGGCGTGTGGCTCGACGAATTCCAGGCGCTCGGTCTGGAGGACTGCTTGCTTCACAAATACGATGATGCATTGGTTTGGTTCGACGAATCTGATCCCGCGAGCGGAAATGACCTCAAACGGCCGTACGGTCAGGTGTGTCGCCGACGTCTTCGAGATAGGTTGTTGCGGGAGTGCGCGGAAGCCGGTGTCAGGTACTTGCCTGGCTTGGTCGACACCGTCCGTCATGGTGATTCGGAGAAGGGTGAGCGAACCGAAATTCAAGGTACGATGATTAAGGATGAGATCGTGGGGGGCAAGAAAATGATTGAAGAGGAATTGCAGCGGGGCAAAGCGTTCAAGCTTTCTTCGCGGCTCGTCGTCGCGGGAACGGGTCACAACCGCGACATTCTGCAGTACGAGGAAGGCGCGCCCCCGGGCTGGCAAACGGCGTATGGCGTTGAAATACGCATTCCAAACCACGGTTTTGATGTTAATAAGGCCGTGTTCATGGATTTTCGCCAGAGTGATCCCGAGGCCGCCGATGAGGAGGCGGATCAAGGCGTCTGGCGCGTGCCCTCTTTCCTCTACGTCTTGCCTGTGGACAAAGATGTCGTGTTCGTCGAGGAGACATGTCTCGTCGCTCGCGTACAGGTACCATTCGATGAGCTCAAACGGCGTTTGTATCGCAGAATGTCACGCATGGGCATGCCGATTGTAGAGAGTGATATTATTGAGGTCGAGGCGAGTTGGATTCCGCTCGGAGGAACACCGCCGGTGGCTCCGCAACGCACCATTGCCTACGGTGCAGCCGCCGGTATGGTTCACCCCGCTTCCGGCTATTCCGTCGTGAATAGCATAAGTACGGCGCCGCGCGTGGCCAGCGCCATGGTCGAGGGGTTGAAAGCGGGCGGCGAGGTTGAAGCGAGTAGGCGAGCATGGGACATCCTTTGGGGTGCGGAGAAGCGTCGACAAATTGGATTCTACCAGTTCGGCATGGAGCTCCTGATGTCTCTTCGAATCGAACAGATGCGAAACTTCTTCAGCACCTTCTTCGCGCTCCCATCGAACTTAAATCGTGGATTCTTGGGGAACAAGCTGTCGAGCTCGGAGCTCATTCTCTTTGCGCTCACGACGTTCGCCATCGGCAACAACGAGCTTCGTGGGTTACTTCTTGCGCACCTAGTCTCTAAAGGCGGTTCTGGGGTGCGTCTGGCGAAAGCGTTTGCGTACCCACTGTTACCAAAGGATGAGAGCGGCTTGGACGTCTTGCAGGTGAATCGTAAGGAACAAATCGACGCAAAGAACACAACGAAGATGATGACGGACTATTACGAGTCACAACGAAGCGGTATGCTTCCAGGTTATATGGGTCGTGACTGGTGGTCCATTGGTAAGCGCTCGAACTCGAACATTGACGACGACGAGCACAATGGTGGGTCTGCCGGCAGTAGCGGCGATGGTGAGGACGGAGCGCGAGCGGACAGAGAGATGGCTGGAGCTATGCGAATGGACGCCTCGGCCGGTGGCGCGGTGCAGTATTGGTCCAACGGTAGTGCGGCCATGATCGTCACCAGCGCCGTTCGCAAGACGGGACTCAGTAGCAACGATTTGTTCGGAGAGACTCGCAAGAAGTACTTGCCGGCAGCTTTCGTTTCGCAAGCGCCGAACGTGGTTCCACCACACCTCACCGGCACGCTGCCGGGAGACATCGGTTGGGATCCCTTGGCGCTCGGCGCGCAGAGCGACATCGCGAGATATCGCGCCCGCGAGCTCATTCACGGTAGATGGGCCATGTTGGCGTGTATTGGCGTTCTCGTTCCCGAATTTCTCGCCCAGAACTCTATCTTTGGCTCCCCGGGCGAGCACTGGTGGAGCACGCGAATCGTGAATGATCCGCTGGACGGCTTCCAGCTCACATACTTGGGCGAGAACATCCCGTGGGGTCTCTTCTGGCTCCCGTTGATTCATCTCCCTCTCATGTTCGTCGCCGAATCCTTACGCAACGGCACCTACGAGCTCGCCGCGTTCAAGGATCTCGACAAGCTCTACCCCGGCGGTCGCCTATTCGACCCGCTCGGCTTGGCCGCCGGCCAAACCGAGGAGGACCTCAACATCTTAAAAACCATCGAGATCCAACACGCCAGGCTCGCGATGTGCGCCTTCAGTGTCTTCCTCATCGAGGGCGCCGCCGGCAGCGGCCCGTTCGACTTTTAGCTCGCTCGATTCAGTGTAATAATTCTTCCCGACGCGCCCTCTGCCCGCGCTCGATCCCACACCCGGGTGCCCTCGATGCGACGGTGAAATTAAAATTCTCAGATCTGACGATCGCGCGCCTCGGCACTCCCCGTCCCTCCGTCGTCGACGGTACCCATGGCCGCCATGCTCGACCAATCCCTGGACGCGATGATCAAAGAGACGCGCAAGGCGACGCCCAAGGCGCGCAAGGCGAACGCGAAGAAGACGGGAAACAAGACGCCGATCGGTGGTAAAAAGAAGATCGGTGGACTGAAGAACCGATCGACCGGCGCGACGCCGATGGCCATGGACATCGGCGGCGGCGTGAAGAAGGGCGGAAAGAACAGGAAGCCGATGCGCTCGAACGCGGCGACGGCGATGGCGATCGACAGCGCGCGAAGAGGGGTGAACGGAAACGCGAGAATCGCCGTGGGCGGAAAGACAAAGTTAATGGTCGGAAACCTCGACTTCAAGGTGAACGATCGTGACATCAAGGTGAGTTTGGGGATGTGTTTTAGCGCGTAGGGATCGATCGAGAGATCATATTGAGAGGGTGAGGCGAGGCTGAAGAGCCCGTCGAGTCGAGCTCTGATCTCAGAGATTCTTTGGATCAATTCATGATGAATTGCCGGATAAGCGTTGGTGAGAGCTCGATGCGGGCGTGTGCGATGCGATCGATCGCTCATTAAACACGCTCGCGCGCGATGAGCGCGGGAAAATCGCGCGCGATGGGATGATACCGTCGCGCGACGCTGGGCATACCCGGGAAGAACTCGATCTAGACGACTCGTTGCGACTGCGAGCAACGGATGCGAACGAAGCGCTGTGCGTTGTCGCCCGAATTAAGGGCTGGATTAAAAACGACGCGCTGATCGAGACGGGAACGACTATACCCGCTCATGGTGGCGCCAAACGAGCGCGCGAGCTCTCACAAACAAATTATGGCGAAGCGCTTCGCTCGGACGAGCCGCGCCGAACGGGACGCGACGTATTTTTTCAGTTTCGCGAGTTCATGACGCGCAGCGGTGAGAACAAAATCCGCCTTAGATGTCTGAACGACCCGTCGGCGACGCGGCTCGTCGCGAGCGAGCAACCTTCATTGGAGTGATGCGGAGATTTTGCAGACGACGAGCAGACATGGACGATTCAGTTTTATTTTCTAAGCTGAACGCCGCCTGATTGATTGATTTATTGATAGATGCCGCCTGGTTAGACTGGTTCGACTGCGACCGCGCTCGTTTTTGACTCTCGACTCTCGACCTTCATTATACTTATTTCGCTCGTGACTTGGCTCGCACGCTTTGGAGGGATGGAATTATTGATATCGCCGCGCTCTATTGTCGATCCGGAAAACGCAGGAACTCTTCAGCCAAGTTGGACGTGTACTCTCTGCTGGTGTGAACTACGGCCCCAACGGCAAGTCCAAGGGCACCGCCGAAGTCACTCTTGCCACACTCGACTCCGCCATGAAGGCTGTGAGCACGTACAACGGCGTCAAGCTTGACGGCCGGCCGCTCCAAATCGTCATCGTTGATGCTCCGCAGAACAAGCAATCTGCCAAGCCCATCACTCACCGACTCTCGGGCTTGAAGCAACAACCGACGAAGAACGGCAAGCAACAGCAGAAGCCTGGCAACCGTGGCGCCGCGACCGCAAAGGTCGTCGCGGCCACGAAGAAGACTGCACCGAAGAAGAAGGCGCCGAAGAAGAAGGCGCCAAAGAAGGAGGATGCCCCGAAGCCCACGGCGGCCGATTTAGACGCCAGTTTGGACGCCTACAAGGCGTCTGCGGACGTTCAAATGGCTGCGTAAGGTGTTCTCTGCACTCGACCTCAACAACCTTGTAACAGAACTACACAAAGGAACATCCAAACCTCGTCACTGTCGGACGCATCGCTCGCAAATCGCCATGAAGAGCGTCATGGATCTCCTCCATAAGGGTGCGTCGCAAGAATAGCCTCGACATTGAACAGACGCGCGGCGACGAGAGTTTCAAAGTCGACGAGAAACTTTTTTCCGATCCGAACCTCGACGAGCTCGGCGACGACTGACGGCTCGCGCGCGTCTATATCGACGACGCAGACGACGGCACGTACTCCAAGGTTCACGTATTCGCGTTCGTGCTCGCAGCGTTGCACGTCGGCGCGCTTGGGTTGTGGGTGTATCTTACGGTTCGCCAACGCCCGGCAACTGCGTCCGAGCGCGTCGATCCGAGTAAGGATGACTAAGACGTCATTCACGACACGAAACACGATGGGAAGGAATGGAGTGATATCTGTCGCCGCGAGAAGTTGGACTACGTAAAGATGTTTACTACATTCAAACCGTTTGAGACTTTCCAAGTATTTCTAGAACGCGAGCGACTTGGACGTTCACTTCTTTCCATCCTTGTCGTTATCCTGCAGGTTCAACAGAAGGGAATCGGCGCTCAGCATGACGCGGTTGCTGGAGTTGGCCATCGTCTGCGCGATGGCTCGAGCGGCTTCAATTTTACGCAGGGTCAAAAAGGCGGGGTTATTTGCGATGGCCTCGCCAATGAGCTTCGCCGACTTCGCTTCACCCTCGGCCTGAATCACCGCCGAGAGCTTCTCTTGCTTGGCTCGCTCGACGACAAACTTGGCTCGCTCTGCCTCTTGCTGCGCCACCTGCTTGCTCTCGATCGCCGCCGTGTACTCCCTCCCGAACGTCAGCGCCGTGAGCGAGACGTCGTCGAGCACCATATTAAACTGACTCGCCCGCTCTTGCAACAATCGACGAATCGCCAGCGATACCTCCTGCCGCTTCGTGATCAGCTCGCTCGCGTTGTGCTGCGCCACGACCGACTTCACTGTCTCGTGAATCACGCTCGGCAACACGCGCTCGTTGAAGTCCATTCCCAAGGTCTTATACACCTCCGGCAACCGCGACGTATCGGGGCGCGTCAAAACCCGGATCGATATGTTGACCATTTGTAAATCTCTCGACCCGCTCTGTGAGTTCACCTGATGCGCCCGCGCGCGCACATCGTAGATGTACGGGCGCTCGACCCACGGCACGATGAAGTGCGTCCCCTCCGAGTACACCTTGTCCTTTACCCCGACGAAGCGATTGTACACGATCGCCCGATGACCGCCTTCAACGTTGAACAAACTGTGTACGCGCGTCACCCGCGACTCGGTCAGTCTTTAAGCTCGCGAGCGCGTCGCGTGGACCCCACGCGACGCGCGCGCGGTGATCCCGCACCCTAATTCACAATCCTTCTCTTCCTCGCGCCCACGCGCTCGAACGCTCGATGCGCGCACCTGTGATAGAGTCCATACGCCCCCGTACCACCGTACACGAGCGCCTGCAGCGCGGCGCTCACGACGGGCGCTGCGTTCTTCGCGGATTGCATCGTAATCAATCGCAGCCGCCGCGTTATGACGTCATTGATTCGCGTGCGCGCGCTCGCGGGCGACGCCCGAGGCGTGAAAACGACATGAACGGCGAAACGACGTCGTTTCGGTTCGACTTCGGCGCGACAGCGCGCGCCGAGCGCGACGGCGACGGAGAGATTCATCGAAAGTGTGAAACCGCGTCGTCGAGACAGTGCGCGCGAGCGACCGCGCTCGACGCCTCGACGCTTCGATACGTCGACGACGCGACGTGGGTCGGGACGTACGAAACGTATGGAGACATTGAGATCGTGCGGTGCGCGCCCGGGTGCGCGGCGAGCGCGTTGGATGGGTGCGACGCGGACGCGGACGTCGTCCCGGGCGTGTACGAGGGCGGGCTGAAGACGTGGGAGTGCGCGGTAGATTTAGCGACGGCGATCGCGAGAGGGGAGATCGATATTGGGAGTTTAAAGAGCTTGGGCGATGTGCACGTGTTGGAGCTCGGGGCTGGGCAGGCGGTGCCGGCGTTGGTGGCCACGCGGGCGTTGGGCGGCGCGTGCGGACGGTTGACGCTGACGGATTATAACAGAGACGTCGTGGAGGAGGTGACGGCGCCAAACGCGCAGGCGACGATGGAGCTCATGAAGGAACATGGGGAGCGTCCACCAAGAGAGATGGTATTTTTGTGCGGCGATTGGAGCGGGTACGACGCGTACGTAGACGCCGGGAGCGTGGACGTGTTGCTGACGAGCGAGTCGATTTATGACGTCGGGCAATACGGAAGTCTGTGCGCGTTCATAGCGCACGCGCTGAGCGATGACGGGGCGTGCTACGTCGCAGCAAAGAGCTATTATTTTGGCGTAGGCGGTGGCACGAACGCGTTCGTATCGTACTGCGAGAAGAATTACGATTTCAAGGTGGAGCGCCTGAAGAAATTCTCAGACGGCAAGTCAAACGTCAGAGAAATCCTCGTGGTTCGAAAGACGCACGATTGATTGAATCAGCGATACACTTCGTCTACGTTGTATTACTAGTTCTCGCGAGCAACTCTTTTAAAAAAATGATGAAGTGATGCTACGCAAGAACGCGCGTACGTCCGTTGACAATTTCAATGACCTGAACGTCGTGGCCGTAAATTCCTCTCGAGGCACCCACGTCGACGCGCCAAAGCGCCCCCTTGCACCCGTTCGTCACGCCCGTGGTTTGTGGGGTGTGTCCGATCACCAAACGTTTCGCGCCCGCGGCGTCGAGCGCGGTGTTGAGCTTTCTGCACGCGCTCGCTTCGTACTGCACCCCGGCATCTTTTCCGCCGTAGTCCCTCGTCCAGACGACGCCGTCCGATTCCAAAACCTGTTTGGGAGGCATCTTTGTCTTACCCTGCATCCACATCGATACCTCCTTGTTGATGCGCTCGAACCCGTACTCTACGTGCGAGAGATCGATCCCGGCGTGCGCGAAAACCGTCCCGTCATCCACGACCAACACAGTCGGTTGCTTCGCCAACCACATCGCGAGCTCGCCGCCCGGCTTGAACAGCTGCTGCCGCGCTCGAACGCCCGCCATTTCCTCATCTTCATCATCTGAATCCACGCTCACGACCTCCCCGTTCTCACCTCTCGCCGCGTTCTTGGCCCGTTTCTTCTCCGCGTACCTTCGACACTCCTCAAACGCCCCGGGCGTGGCGTATCGAAAATCCCCCATCACGTTCATGATCTCGTGATTCCCGTTCATGCACACCACGTCCCCACCGACTTGTCTCGCTTGTTTCCGCAGCGCTCGTAACTTGCGCATGATCGCGATCTCGCTGTCGCCTCGATCCAGGACGTCGCCGACCTGCACGACCACCGCGTCGCCGCCGACCCATTTCCCCGACTCGTCCATGACCCCGGCGAGCTCCAGCGCGCGCACGGCGGCGAGAAAATCACCGTGCAGGTCTCCGACGGCGACCAAGCGTCGTCCGTTGAGCGCTAAACGCGTCATCACGCCGTTGGCGTCGCTCTGGTCGCCGCTCGGTGCTCTCTGCTTCTTTTGTTTTGACGGCGCCGCCTGACGCGCGCGCGCGCGGTCGACGCGCGTCGTCGCGGTGAGCGCGGTTAAGGTTGCGATCACCGCGCGCCTGTGAAACCGATGGGGGTTCGGTGCGGGGGCGGCGGCGCGCATGGGGAATGTGTGATTGCCCCGCTGTGAGGGGGCATCTTACGCGACGCGTCGCGACGCCGCCGCGCGCGGACCGGGTGCGTTTCATCGACGACGCTCGAGGGGCTAGAGAGTGAAAACGTGTGATCATAACGGTACGCGTTCGGTCGCGAAATCGGGAACGCCGTCGTCGTCGCCGCCGCGCACCTCGGCGTTGTCTCTGACGAAGTTTTCTAGAACTTTGATCCCGGCGAGGTTGAAACCCATGATGTCTCGCGCCTCCTTGGCGCGCGAGCGCAAGAGCGGGCGAATGGCGACCAAGGTTTTTCGAGCCTCGGGCACTCGACTCAGGCGGTCGGCGTGGGTGCGCATGACGAGCGTCGCGAGTTTGCACGTGAGCTCGACTTTTTGACCGGCTGTGAGCCAGGTGAAGAGATGGTCCAGGATGGCGTGCGCGAATTCAAAGGGCAGGCACAGGATGGCGCGCTCGAGCTCGCTCGCTCGAATCTTCGCGATGGCGTTCAGCGCGTACTGCGACGGCTGTTGACCGAGGAGCAGAGGGTTTGGCTGTAACGGTGCCAGCTTCCCGCCCGCCTTGACGTTGTCGGCGGCGTGCTCCGCGAAGCGCTTGGTCTCGTGCTCGGCGAGCTCGAGCGCCTCAGCGATGGCATCCGCGGCGGTCAACGTCTCGAGCGTCTTGCGTCCAGCCATGCCCTCTTCACCCTCGACCGGGAGCTCAGTGTTCGGTCGCACGCGCTCGTCGTCGATACCCTCGTCCAGTTTCGCTTCAAGTAGACGCTCTTGCTCTTCATCCACGAAGAAGGGTTCGTCCGTGCGTTCCCACATTCGGAGCGAGCGATCGCCGGAGCCGGTGACGATAAAGTTCCCGCGCGTGCTCACCGCGATGCACCACACCGGGGCGTGGTGCGCCTCGAGCGTGAGCAAAGGATCGAATTTGTCTGCGTCCCAATACTTGATCAGCTTATCCTTTCCCACGGAGAACAGATAATGGGTCTTGGGGACAAACTTGAGCGCCATGACGGAGTCTTGGTGCGCAAAGATGGACCGGTGACAGTCACCGAAATCCAAGCCCCAGATGCGAATGTTCTTGTCCGCCCCCGCTGACGCCAACAACTGAGAGTCGCTCGAGATGTCGTGACACAGCGCCGGAAGTCTGTGGCCGTATAAAGACAGGTTGAACTTCAGGCTATCGACGAAGAACACCTTGAGCGTGTTGTCCAAGAGCGACACGGAGAGCAACTTCCCATCAGGAGTGACTTGACAACTCAACACGTCTTCCGCCATTTGTAGCGTTCGCGTGTGGTTGAAACTAAGGGTTCGCATACCGTCTTCACCTTTTTCCAAGGACCACTCCCAGAAGCGAACCGTCTTATCCGCTGAGGCTGAGATGAAGCCGCTATCGTCGGGAAGCATGGCGAATCCCCAAACCGCGCCTTCGTGTGCCTGCGGGACCGGGAGCTGAGCCCCAGAGTTAACGTCAACAAGTTCGATCGTACCCTGCTTCGTACCCACGATGGCGTGTCGACCGCCTGGGGCGAAAGCGACGCACAAACCGTATCCGCCCTTGATAGTTCGTAAACACTCGCCGTCGGAGATGTTCCAAAGTTTGCATCCATTGCTGGAGCACGACAGCACGGTTTCGTCGTCAGGCGAAAGCGCGACGGCGCGAATATCCGACGGATGTCCTGAGCTGTCAATGGCGTGCACGCGCTCAGGCTCGCCTTCGTCGACGATTTCCCACTCATGCACGGCGTTGTCGTCCAAGAGCACGGCGACTTTGCACATTACGTCTGTTCGCTTCGAAACTTCGCTCGAGAAGGCAAAGCCGCGCATCTTAGACTTCGTTGTCACCGTGGACGCGAGTTCAAGCTCGTCTTGTGCGGCTCGAGCGCCGTCATCTTCGTGTTCCTCGCGCGCCGCGTCCAGGTCGCCGAGCTCCTCCGCCTCGCGTGCCTTTTGTTCCATCTTCTCTCTCTTGCGCTTCAAGCGTCGCTTTTGCTTCTTCGCCGCCTCCTTATCGCCGCGCACTCTGTAAATCTCCAGTCCGCGTCCGGCACCCTGCACACCGAGATATTCACCCGACGAGTGAAACCGCACCGTCATCGCTCTTCCCTTGGCCCGGCGCGTCATCGTCCCCATCGCCATCAGAGGCGACTCGCGATCGAATCCATCGCGCCTTTCATCGCAATCGAATGCGTGTAACTTATCATCCGCTGTGCCGACGACGCATCGCGTCTGCGACGGATTCACGTCTAAACTCCACGTCTCGCCGTCGAAACCCGTGAGCGTCTGTGTGCACGCGCGCGTTCCCAAATCCCAAACCTTCACGTACCCATCCTTGCTCGTCGTCACTAACATTCGTCCAAACAACTCTGCGCTTCGGTGCCCTCTCAGATCGACGAACGCGCAATCGGTGATCTGATCTCGATGTCCTCTCAATCGCGTCACTCCGCTCTCCGCCGCGACGTCCCAAACCACGACGTCCGCGTCTCTACCTCCGCTCACCAACAGACTTCCATCGTTCGAAAACCGCAACGCCGTCACGTCTCTCTTATGTCCTCTCAGCGTCACGTCGCACGCATCGTCGCCTATTCGCCACAACCGCACGCTCCCGTCCGCGCCGCCGCACGCCAAGACGTCTCCGCCCGGCGACCGCGCGAGCGCCGTGACCCTCGGCTGCGCCAACGTCGCCCCGCGCTCGTCCGTGGCCCTCGGCGGGATCAACTGTTCCTCTCGCGTGCCCTTTTTCACGTCCCAGAGCCCCACGCGCTCGAGGGCGACGACGGCGAGTCGTTCTTTCGCCGCCGCCGCCGGACGCGCGATGTCCACGCCGACGCCTTCGGCGACGTTTCTCGGCGCCGGAGGGACGTACGCGATCGCGCCCGCGGTGTCGGAGAGCCCCGAGGCGACGACGCCCCAGGACGCGGCCTGCTCGTAGCGCAAGTACGCCTTGACCATGACGAGAGGGGCGATGTGCGGGACGACGGAGCCGCGGGACGGCGCGACGCGGGCGAGACGCGGATGACGACGCGACGAACGCGATGATGTCGAACGACGCGACGCGATGCCGCGACGACGATGCGTCGACGCGATGATCCGTCGCGAACGCGAGCCGACGGCGCTAGAATATTTCAAAACCGTCGGCGACGGCGCGGTAGGCGCGTTCGTTCGCGTCGTATCGCGCCCGATCCGTCTCGACGCGCACCGTGTACAGCGTGCTCGCCCCGGTGTCTCGATCGACGCGCAACGCGAGCGTGATTTGAATCACGCGTCGAACGCCCAGGACGTCCTTCTCGAGGACGACGTCGTAGTACTCGACACCCTTCTTCTCTCGCGCGAAGCGCTCGCGAAGCGTCGCCCGGGCGCGTCCCCTCGACGCGGCGTTCTCCCCGTCCACCAACCGCGTCGCCACGTCCTCGACCGCGCCGATGTCTCGCAGCGTCATCGGTCCACCCCCGGTCGCGGTCTTGGACGTCACCGAGATCGTGTTCGCCGCTAATCCGAACCGCGCGTCCCGCAAGAACGCCTCCGCGGACGCCGACCCTCCCACGTCAACCTCTTCGTAGTGCTCGGGCGTCTCCGACAGGCGAAAGCGCCCGCGCTCGAGCGCGCGCGCGGACGTCGACGCGAGCGCGTCGCCGCCAAGCGCCTCGGTCGCCCAAGCGTCCGCGCGCGGCGTCGACGCGACCGCGAGCGCGCCGAGGAAACCTAACGACACCGCGACTCGTCGATCCGTCGCGTCGCTCGCGCGCGCGCGCGAAGGCGTCGAACGCGCGCGCGCTCGGACGCGCGCGCGTCGTCTCGGTCGTCCACGCGCGACGGGCGCGCGCGCGCGCGCGGGGGCGGGGCGCATGGACGGACGCGCGCGTGTGGGGCGACGACGACGACCGTGGGTGCCGGTTCGTATTCTCGCGGTTAT